GACTGTGAGGATTTACACACTAACACATGGAGACCAGTGTCAACACTCGGCTGACAATACCCATTTATGGAGAAGTCAACATATGGAGAAAGTTACTTAATACAGGGTTCCCACACCTTGGTTAACTTCAAACTCAAGGACCTTTCAAGTACTTTCAAGTTCCAGAACTCTCACAGATGCAATATATTGTGTGACACATTACACAGTGTTCTCCTGTAAGATATATTGCTACAGTTTTCATGTGTCAAACACAACTTTACAATAAAAAATTCATTCATTTTCTTTCGGCTCAGTCCCTTATTTATCAGGGGTCACCACAGCGGAAAGAACCGCCAACTATTCCACCATATGTTTTACACAGTGGATGCCATTTTAGCCCCAGCCCAGTACTGGAAAATGCAATAAAAAATTCTTTCATTTATTTTTAGCCATGAGAGAGATCTGATATTATATTTGTCATATTTCTGTTTTGTGTAAAACTGATGAACATAACACATCCTATACTGCATTTTTAAATGATTTGATAATACATTTTTGCATGGATTCCATTGAAAAGAGCTCACAGGTTCATTTAACCAGAAGTTTGAAGGTTTATGAATATGCCTTCATGTTTTTCTTGCATTATCCTAACAAGCAAAGCATTTCAAATTCAAAGTAATTCAATTTAAAATGTTGTATTAAATAAAATATTTAGGGAAGAGATTATCAGAAGTTTCATGGGCATGTGAAAGTCATGACCAAGTAAAAAACTTGGTGTAAAACATGATAAGCAACACATAATGTGCAGTAAGCAAGAATGCAGAAAAGTGTTGGCAAAATAACACATTAATGAACCATAATAAATTATATGGAACCTTTTCCATACATTTTTTAACATTTTTTTTAATTTATTCCAACACAGAATAAATTCAAGTACTTATAAGAACCTGTATCTGTGTATATTTATTTTCCACAACTTTCCAGGGTATTGACATTTTTCCCTTCAGATTCACAAACTTTCAAGGATTTCAAGGATCCTTGCGAATCCTTTTAATATTGATCAATGCACATTGAACCAAGACACTACAGACCAAAATGCGAGAAAAATAAGCAATATATACTAAATAATCAAATGAGGGTGCACAGAAGTAAATCTTAGAAAAGGTTATTAGAAGTGATGTTATGTTATTTAATCACTCCATAGTTCAGAAAATACTGCAAACACAATTTGTTTTTTTGCTAAATAAAATGTTGTATATAATTAGGAGCGTAATATATGAGCAAATTCCTTAGTAAAAACATTTAGAATCCAGATAGGAATAAAACTGTGTATTTTTGGTTTGTGAGTGAAGTTTCCCAGCAGGCACTGGACATCAGATTGACTTTGCACCCCAACGTTGTGGCGATGTTGCATTTAGTTTGAAAATGAAAATCGGGTTGACATCAGAACTAAACGTCAGGCCGAATCAATGTCCAACGTCCAAGGTCTAATCATGTTACACCTTGAAGTTTTGTGAACAATACCACTATGACGTCTATCAGATGTTAGATTTTAAACGAATAAACGTCAGCATTTGATGTTAATATGACATTTGTTTAAGATGTTGGCTTGGTGTCGGATTTTGGCCACTTTCCAACACAACTTAAAATCAACCAAATATCAATGTCATTTGACGTTATTATTTGACATTAGGTATGCCACGGTTCTCAATATAATATTGAACCGTATGGTACGACCTCCACGGTTCAATAAGCGCTTGTGAATTTTGGTTTTCTCGCGGTTTTGGGTTTAAATAATTTATGTGCGTTTCATATCTGCCCGAATGGACTGTGTGTGCCTGTAAATCCATGAGCTGAGATGAGGAAACTCCTCCCCGCGAGTAAATATCCAATCACTTTGCTCTAAAGTTAGGGGGCGCTCGACCATCATTCCACACTTTAACATTGTGAGCGGTGGTAAAGTGAGGCTGAGGCAAAAGTACAAGGAAGTGCCGGCAAAGTGAGACAACAGTACGAGTAAGCGCCGGCGTCTTTCAAATCTGCGGTGTGAGGACATTTCGGTTTTGCCGGTAAGAATAATGCCAATAAAAGAAAAAACGGTGAACAAGAAATAACTGTGTGCAAGTATTGTTTTACACGTAAAACCATGACTGCACATCTGCAACGCCATCACCCAGCAATATCACTGTCTAAAGGCAGGATAGCAGAGAATGTAATAAAGTCTTACAAATAGCAACAATCCCTCGCTGAATCTTACAAGCAAACATACCCAACTGGTTCCAAGAGACACATAAAAATAACAAAGGCAGTGCGGGTGTTTATTGCTAAAGATTTGCAGCCGTTTTTGGTGATTGGAGATGTGGGCTTTTGTCATTTTATAAAAGCACTCGATCCGCATTACAGACTACAGTCTCGCATTTTTTCAGCACCAAGATAATTAAGATGGTTTATTTATGTTTACTTAAGTACAAATAAGTTTTTTTGAAATGGCCAATTTTTCTTTATTAACTTCACATGTATGTTTATTTTCAAAGTGTAGGATTTTATGTGTTGCCCAGTTTGTACATGGGCTACCAGCAGCTGTGAGATTTCAGTGTTAATTTTTTTATACAATACACTAGGAACTAGTGTACTTTTGCTTTTGGCTTTTAAGTAAAACAAAATGAGTATTGCAATAAATCATTTTATTTTTTTCTCCTAAACCTCTTACTGTTCCTATTGCCTATAGACAAAAAAAAAAAAAAAAAAAAAAAACATGTGTCAAGCCATGCGAACCGAACCGAAAACCAAAACCGAGGTATGTATTGAACCGTGGGCTAAATGTATTGTTGCATACCTATTAGACATCAAAATAATGTTGTCCTTAAACACTGACTAGACACTGAATTTTGGTCACCTGACGTCACAGCATAAATCTCAACTAATATTAAAGTCTTATGATGTTGCGTGCCTACTGGGTAAAGTGTATATTTATGACTCGTGCGGGAGAAAAAAACTCATATGGTGAAAACAGCCTTTGAAAATACACACTGAAATTTAAATCTACAAACACAAAATAAAATTATGCAGTAAAAGAACACTTAAATGTGTATTCTGAATGATTTCTTTACAGGAGACTGAAAAAACACTGAATTATTATTTTCTTTTAATATAATGAATTATTATGAAGGAACATGTATTTGTGTAGTTGCACCACAGGACTAGGCCCATACGGAATCTGCGCGCACAGAAATAAACAGATCTTTAAACTTGTTATTAAGTCTATTCATCTACTTGTGTAAATGTGTGTATATGGGCGACGCGGTGGCGCAGTGGGTAGCACTTGCCTCACAGCAAGAAGGTCGCTCGTTCTAGCATCGGCTGGGTGAGTTGGCATTTCTATGTGGAGTTTGCATGTTCTCCCCGTTTTCACGTGGGTTTCCTCCAGGTGCTCCGGTTTTCCCCACAAGTCCAAATACTTGTGGTACAGGTGAATTGATTGACCGTAGTCAATGAGTGTGTGAATGAATGTGTGGATGTTTCTTAGTGATGGGTTGTGGCTGGAAGGGCATCCGCTGAGTAAAAACATATGCTGGATAAGTTAGCGGTTCATTCCGCCGTGGCAACCCCAGATTAATAAAGGGACTAAGCCGAAAATGAATGAATGAATGTGTGTAAAATTATATTTATTCAGTTTTTAAATTAATTTCGGTAATAATATTGGCTAATATGAAAGTGTTCAGACTTATTTACAATATTGTTTGTAAAGTAATACTTTCTGTCTTTTAGTATAATAAATTTAATATATTATATGAGACTTGCTTTGTTTACCAACTAAGTGGATCCTATTGGATTTGCATTGTAAACATTAAATAAATGTTATATATGTAATATTAAATAAATGTTATATATATATATATATATATATATATATATATATATATATATATATATATATATATATATATATATATATATATTTATTTATTTTATTTTTTTATTATTATTTTTTATTTTATTTTTTTTACAAAATTCTGCACAGAAATAGCAAAAAATTTATTCAGATTCTGTCTGGCCACACATAACATAGCACAGTCTGGTAAAATTGTCTCTTTATAAAAATAAATTACCTAATATATTTCAATATATTAAAGGTAAAGGTAGTCACCTTTACATGCAGTCATAAGAGTATGTGCTTGATTCATTTATGCTGGTTACACCACACGTCCTTGATTCAAGAAATAAGCTAAAACATTTTTTCATTGCTAAAAGGGAATGTTTTATGCAAGTAAATGAATTGATCGGGTTTTAAAACCTTCTGAGGGCTGTTTTGTTGAAAGTAATGTGTAGATTTTGTCCTTTTTAGAAGGATTATCATGGCTTCCAATGGGTTAAGTAATGATATTTCAGATTATATATGTTAAATAAATTCAACTGCATTGTATTTTTCTTTGTGGTGGGTCATATGCAATTCAAAATTTCAAAGAGTTTCTCTCTTTTTAATAAACAAAAATGTGTAAATGCACAAAAACATGAACAGTTCAGATGCAAAAACCTGCAAGTGCCATCTTCTAACTTTAGCATTTTTCTGAGCCTCCTGTGTTCTTATTTATTTTATTTTAAACTTAAAGCCAACAAAAAAACCTATTTTCAAAAAGAGCTCAATTTAGGAGACGTGGATGCATTTCTTCTAAACTCCCATTCCTGATATGGTTTTACTAAAACTTTTGCACCCCCAAAACTCTGAATGTGAAAATAATAAAAAAAAAAAATTCTGAATAAAGCACAAGAACCAGATCTTCCATTCAACCCAGATAAACAAATAGTCCCTCATTTTCCTCCATGTTTGCAGAATAGCTATTTAACACCGCCATGAAAAACATAAAAACAAAAGGAAACCAGCACCAAAGCACCCCGACCATCTCATTTGACTCTCATTTCCATCTGCGCGCCTTTACGATGTGTCCCCATAGCGTCTACGTCCACAGATTACTGAAAAACCCAAAGCATGCAAAGCTGTCATTTGCATGTTAGCAGGTACAAATCTAAAAATATGAAGAAGCTTTTCGCACATGAGCAGCTGTGGAGGAGGAGGAATCGATGGGGCTTCCTCTTTGGTGACACACAAAAAAAGAAAAAGAAAAAGCATAAAAAAGCAGAGCCAGATACACAGAAGGCAAACCTGAAGAGCACCAGCATGAGGATTTCTGGCCAATAAAGCCCTGGATCTACCATGTCTGGCCTAATTCAAGCTTTCCCAGCGCATTTCAGCATGGACAGAGACGATTGCAGGAGAAACAAGACCTTGTAAGTGTCGTCTTCTTCACAAGGGAGTGTATTGTGAGGGGTTTTAGGGTAGCTTTGCATGTGTGAAATGCCGACAACAACGCTGACTTTCTCTCCATAGAGGAAAGAACCTCATGTGCCGATTAAAGTCAATGTTCGCCGGTTCGTCCGCTCCGGAGAGGTGAGGGGATGATAAAAAGTGATATAGTGGATGTGTGACAGGGTTTCTGCAGGTTTCAGCCCTATATGGTTAAATAAATAAAAAATGATAAAATGTCTATAAATATATAGTAAATGTAGGAGTAAGACTCAATTGATTGACTTTTTTTATCAGAAATATATTTTTACTAACGTGGTTAATGAATATATATATATATATTTTTTTTTTGAAAGTTGACACTTTTTAAATGCAAAAAAATATACAAATGGCTAAAATTGTATTTGTAAAAAAAGATACCTATGGTATGTAAACAAAACAATAAAACTATTAAATAGTTTGTATATTTAAAAGAATAAGAATAATTATATACACACACGCATATATATATATATATACATACATACAAACAATAATACATACAAATGTGAGACTTTTAAAGAACTTTAAGGCCCTTATATACAAAATTTAAGACCTATTTCATAATAGTTCTTTACTGATAATATATATTATTATTATATTGTTGCAATTATAGTTGAACATGCAACAAAAAGAACTTCGAAACCACAAAATCAATACAAAAACAGGTTGTAGCCATATATATATATATATATATATATATATATATATATATATATATATATATATATATATATTCTAAAATGAATTGACATTTTTTTAAATGCCAAAAAAATATACACATGGCTAAAATTGCATTTGTAAAAAGAAATCTACAGTGTGTAAACAAAAAAGTAAGACTTAATTAAACAAATATTTTTTGTACATAAAGAAAATATTATACAGTTGAAGTCAAAATTATTAGCCCCCGTGAATTATTAGACCGCTTGTTTATTCTTTCCCGAATTTCTGTTTAACAGAGAGAAGATTTTTTTAGCATTTTTCTAAACACAATTGCTTTAATAACTCATTTCTAATAACTGATTTATTTTATCTTTGCCATAATGATAGTAAATTATATTTGACTAGATATTTTTCAAGACACTTCTATACAGTTTAAAGTGACGTTTAAGGGCTTAACTAGGTTAATTAGGTTAACTAAGCAGGTTACACTATTAAGAAAAAATATAGCTTAAATGGGCTAATAATATCGTCCCAAAAATGGTGTTTAAAAAATGTAAAACTGTTTTCATTCTAGCCAAAATAAAACAAATAGGACTTTTTCCCAGAAGAAAAAAATATTATTAGACATACTGTGAACATTTCCTTGCTCTGTTAAGTACTCTTTAAGATCCATATATACAAAATTTAAGACCTGTATAATAATGATTCTTTACCAATAATTAGTCAAATTATAGTTGAACATGCAACAAAAAGAATTCAAAACAAAACCCAAAATCAATACGAAAATTGGTTTCAGCCCTGTATGGTTAAATAAAAAAAATGATAAAATGTCTATGGATAAAATGTATTATGTTACAGTAAGACTCAATGGATGGATTTTTTTTTTAAATCGGAAATATAGTTTCACTAACATGGTTAATGTATTCGATTGTCAGAAATCAATTGACACTTTTTAAATGCTAAAAAAATAAACAAATGACTAAAATTGTATTTGTAAAAAGTAACCTACAGTATGTAACAAAAAATAATTAAACAAATACATTGTTTGTATATAAAAAATTAATAATAAATACATATATACAGTTGCAATCAGAGTTTTAAACCCCCTAAAATGTTAGCCGCCCTGTTTATTTTTTCCGTAATTTCTGTTTAAACGAGAGATTTTTCTAAACATAATAGTTTTAATAACTTATCTCTAATAACAGATCATTGCCATGATGACAGTAAATAATATTTGATTAGATATTTTTCAAGACACTTCTATACAGCTTAAAGTGACATTTAAAGGCTTAACTGGGTTTATTAAGTTAACTAGGCAGGTTAGAGTAATTAGGAAAGTTATTGTATAATGATGGTTTGCTCTGTAGACTATTGAAAAAAATATATATAGATCAAAGGGGCTAATAATTTTGACCCTAAAATAGTTTGAAAAAAAAGCTGCTTTTATTCTAGCCAAAATAAAACAAATAAGACTTTCTTCAGAAAAAAAAAATATTATCAGACATATGTGGAAATTTCAAACATCATTAATTGTCAATTGTCAAACATCATTTGGGAAATATTTTTAAAAGAAATAAATTCAAAAGAGGGCTAATAATTCTGATTGCAACTGTATACTCATTTGATAATCATTTTTTACCAATAATATTAGGGCTGGGCGATTTGGCCTAAAACTAAAATCTCCATTAATTGAACATTTTAACTCAATTATGACTAATAAACGATTATTTTATTTGTTTATTTACTTTATTTTTTTGCCCTCACAGTTCACTGGCAAGTTTTTTATGCCTTCTAATGGCATCTTTGGAGCCAATGTAGAGCAAAGTAAGGCTCAAGAATGGGTCCATTGTCCTACTTGACCAGAGATCAGATGTGGCTGCAAAAATAACAGAGCGGGGTCACGTGACACGTAGGGAAAGCAATTGAAAAAAATCGTCCTGGAAAAATTGGCTCGATTATGGGTTCTGCATGTCGATTTTGATTACTTTTAGATTAATTGCCCAGACCTAAATAATATACAGTCCAATTATATTTGAACATGCAACAAAAAGAACTTCAAAACCACAAAAACCAATACAAAAACACATTTAAAATACTTTTTAATCATTTATACCGTATAAAGATAAGTTACTTTATTAAAAAGTTCAAAACTTTACTTATTTTTATCAGGTATATTTTTAAGTTATACAAATTATAACTTGACGTTTTAGTCATTTTAATTGGTGTAAGTTGAAATTAAGTAAGTTCAATTTGATACAACTCAAAAATTGAAGACAGCAGCAAATGTTTTGCATTAATATAATTAAAAACATTAATTAAATTAACATTAAAGACATTTAAGACCTGGAGCACAACAACAAAGTGCGATTTAAGACTTTTTAAAGGCCTAACATTTTAATTCTGGCATTGATTTGAGGCATGTTAAGACCTGTGGAAACCCTGTGTGAGGTCAAAAATAGTTTGAGACAAGAGATATTGCTTGTAATCCGGTCAACTAATCAAACCTGTCTGATCCCATCAGGCTAAGTTTAGAAGACACCCAACAATGGTCTCAGTCTCTGGAGCGACTCCTCGGGTCCAAATGTAAGGCCTTTTTTTTGTAAGTTTATTTTTGGCACTGGTAAACTGGAACATAAATTAAAGAGGTGCTGTTTGCCTCCTCCAGATGGCCTGGCAACTTTCCGCACCTTTCTGAAATCAGAGTTTAGCGATGAAAATATCGAATTCTGGTTGACCTGCGAGGATTATAAGACGATCACATCATCCCATAAGATGAGCTCTAAGGCCAGGAAGATCTTTGAACAGTTTGTTGAAGCAGAGTCTCCGAAAGAGGTAAAAGACACAACACTGTTGATCTGCACACTGTCATTCATAATGGTAAAAATGCTTTCACTTAGTACCTAAAGGCACACATGTCAGTACCAAAAGGTCCATATTGGTACCTTAAAGTACATACTAGTACCTTTCGAATGGGTACCAGCTTTTTTAATTGCTGAGAGTGATTAATTATTGACGCCATTTACAATAGAAATGCTATGGAGATAATTTTATATGTTCAATATTTAAATAACTCAAATATGCATTAATATTTAGTCAAAATGTACTGTTACAATTTAACAATACAATCAAAATGTGTATAAACAATTGCAATATGCTAATACATATTCATAATTAAAGTATTTACATATTTGTTTTGCCACAGTAATAATAATAAAACCTTTTATAAGTACTATAAAAACCAAATAAGTACATGTGTAACAAACTATTAATATCTATCAAATAACAATACAGTATCTAATATAAATAATCAAATATTACTATTTAAATTTAAATAAATAATTTAAAATTAAATAAAAAACTAAAAAAGTTATAATAATTTAATCACCACTAGATTTTTATTGAAATGAAACTCTATACAAAGCTCATTTATTTATTTATTTATTTATTTATTTATTTATTTATTTATTTATTTATTTATTTATTTTATATTATTCAAAAAACTGACCCTGCATCCACAGGACATAAACATATTGACGTTGTACCCCAACTTCGTGGAGACGTTGGATTTTGTTTGGAGATGAAAATTGGGTTGATGTCAGTGTCAAACGTCCAACCTAAAATCAACCAAATATCAACGTCTAATCATGTTACACCTTGACGGTGTATAGACGTTACCACAATGACATCAGACGTTGGATTTTGGTCACTTTCCAACACAACCTAAAATCAACCAAATATCAACATAAATTGACGCCGCTATGGGACGTCAAAATAACCTTGTCCTTAGAGGCTGGCTAGAGGTTAACTTTTGATCACCTGACGTCATGATCTAAATCTAACCTATTATTAACATCTTATGACGTTTTGTGCCTGCTGGGAAGTTTACCACTGATTGGTATATAGATATTTATATTAATTTTTAGATAAATTTCAGATTACAATAGTTCAGATTACAAACCAGACCAATAAACCCATTGCCCTATAGGACCAAAACCAAACTAAGGGAAAAAATAACATTTACCAAAATGATCCAGTTGGCACCTTGACATCACAGTGATGAAATCAAACACAAAATAAAAGAAGTCAAACATGGTAATCGATTTAATGTCAACTGACGACCTTGATGTCAAAACTGAACTTGCCATCTAATGCTGTGTTCACACCAAACGGTTAAGCACGGATAAATCACGTTATTCATGCGTTAATAGATGCGTTAACATTTTGAGTATAATCGTTTCATTCGCGTGTCAAATTCGCTTTATTTGCGCGTCAAATTCACTTCAGAACAGATGCGGATTCGCAGAACAGATCTATCATGGCTGGGGCTTCTGTCTGCCAGGTGACTCTAGCTTCATTGCTAAATGGCTAACATAGATTTTAATAAGAGAATAGCTTTGTTCATGGGCTTTAGGAGGACTGAAAAACAGAGTTGATTCGCTTGGAGCCGCGTCTGAGTCCACTAAATCCATTCAGAGGTACACCAGCTCTGTAAGTTCATAAACTCCTCCTGAATCTATACCTGGATGATGCAGGCTTTCAGCGGTGCTTCTTACTGAGCCGAGCCCAGTTTGATGAACTGTTGTCAGTGTCGGCAGGAGGATTTTCCCCCTGGACACCAACAACAGGCGCTACATCATAATCACGCCCCCCAAAAGAGCAAGCTCCTGATTGGTTAACCCGACATGAATGTCTGATGAAGTTCAGTTTTTCCAACTCGAGCGTTTAGCGCGAAACACATGATAGGCACGTCAATTGCGCAATGCGCTAAACTCGCGCCACCTCATTCCTGCGAATTGCGTCAGTCGCACCACCTCATTCGCACTTATTGCGCCACAGGATGTCTATTCACATCTTTGCATTGACTTAAAAAGTAAATCACCCGCGCTTGATGCTTCTTCCGCATCTCGTATGAACACAGCATAACACATCAAAAACAGGTCTTCAAATTGATTTTTCACCTATTTTTCACATCAATGTTTGATGTCAATTTGATGTCATTTGAACATTAAGGCAGACTAAATGCATTGTAGAGATACAAAATAGAGTGTATATTTGGAATTTGGAACTAAAACTTTTCCTATAATACTTTTTGTCAATACTTTGGTGGTCAAAAGGACATCAATGTGTAGATGTCAAATAGATGTTAAGATTTTGATCAATTTTCTGTTGTCAATTTGATGTTGTTTTGACATCAAGGTACCTGATTGTGGTCCATTTGCAAAAAACCATGGCTTCTATATTACACATTTGATTTTTTTGCAATTACGTTTGCATATTTTAGACAAAATGTCTTAATATTTGCCCAGTATATATTCCAGTCACTGTAAAAAAAAACAACTATACAATCTCTAAGTTATAATAACGGGTTTTTATGTTAATTTAATTTACCAACTTTTTAAATTACAGATTAAGATTCAACTTGATGTTTGTCTTAAGTATTAAGAGTCAGTTTAATTTAAGTTAAAATAACTACTAAGTTTAATTGTATTAAACTTTTTAAAAAGTTCAAGCAGACTTTTGTTTTTCACAACACAGACTCTGTGTACATGTCTCTTATTTGCATGGCAGATAAACATCGATTATCAGACCCGCGAGGAAATCAAGAGGAAAATGAAGAGTCCAACTGCACAATGTTTCGACGAGGCTCAAAAGATTGTCTACGGACTGATGGAGCGGGACTCTTACCCTAGATTTCTAAGATCTGAGATGTACAAAAGCCTCCTGGAGACGATTGCGGCAGACGATGAAGCGGGATGACTGTGTGGATGTATCAAAAACACTGTACAAAAACTGGAAAGGTCTGGTCTTCCGTCTCGTGGACAGGACCAGAACCACTAAAAATTGAGCCCCTTGAGACCCTAAAACAACCAATAAGGAGACAGTATGGAGCAATGGTTGGACATATGCCATTGATATCAAAGGAAATTGAGAAGTCTGACCAGTTCCTCAAATGAAGGTGCTTCCTGTGTAGATAAAAGCCAGCTCATCCGGTGGTTTCTAAAGCTACATATTTGGGCAAAACACTTTGGGCATAACACTATTGTCTTTTTCCGGCACTTCCAGAATTTCTTCAAGATCTGCTTTGCCATGTGGCAGTTTTTGTAGCTCACATAGAGCAGGGGTGGCCAACCCTGTTCCTGGAGAGCCACCTTCCAACAGATTTCAGTTAATACCCATATCAAACACACCTGAACCAATTAATTAGGAACTGAACACCACATGATAATTACACGCAGGTGTGTATGATATGTTTTGCAACTGAAATCTGCAGGAAGGTGGCTCTCCAGGAACAGGGTTGGCCACCCCTGTAGTAGAGCATGGCATTTATAACGGCAAAAGTTGTGGGTTTGATTGCTAGGGAAAGCAAGGAATGATCAATTTTATACCTTTACTTTAAAAAATGCTGTGTTTTTCAATCCAATGCTGCATCCTAATTTGCATACTTATACTATGTTCGTAAAGTATGCACTGTAGCATTTTTTGTGATGAAAAATTTATACTTTTAAATGTGTAACAAGAGAGCATGCGAGTTTTGGTACAAACTACATTCTCATAAATGGACCGTTGTGTTGCTTACACTGTAAAAAGTGGAGGAATCCACATAATTCCTTCACGTCGTCCCAACGCAAATCAATTAATGATTTTTACAGTTTTAAGTTGAGTGAACATATAACAACTAAGCCGTCCCCAACAAAAACCTCAAGAACTGTGTTGTTTCGGCTTATTTTAATTGGAACTTGACCTTTTTAGCTTTAGTTTTCAGCTCTTAGTAGTTTGAAGAAGCACCAAACTTAACATTTTTTGAGTGTATTTACAGTTGAAGTTAGAATTGTCAGGCTCCTTGAATTATTAGTCCCCTGTTTATTTTTTCCCCAATTTTTTCAAAACATAATAGTTTTTAATAACTATTATTAATAATTATCTTTGCCATGATGACAGTAAATTATATTTTACTAGATATTTTTCAAGACATTTCTAGACAGCTTAAAGTGACATTTAAAGGCTTAACTGGGTATATAGGTTAACTAAGCAGGGGTACGTTTCCCAAACAACGACGTAACTTGCAGCTGAACTATCATAGTACGATGCATCGTTTGGAAAAAGAACTATGTAGTGATGAGTGTTTCCCAAAACCCGCAGTTTCTTTATCCCGGATCCATAGCTTGAACCACGTTAGTTATCTCGTAAAACGCCCATAATGACGCTCTTAACAGGGTGGAGTAACTACTTCTTTAGAGAAAAACACAATTTCTCTGTGCAAATTATATTGTATTACATGCACATGCATTTAAAATAAAATCCAATATTAGATTCGGTAAAAACATGCACTCGCTTTCCATATTAACTGAAATGTAAATAGAACATAGGGCCTATGTTTGCTTTATTAATATTGAGAAGTTTAACATTACATATACCATTCTGAAACATATCACTTACAACAGCTAGCACGTATTGTAATATCCTATAAACCATATAAATAAATAAATAATGAGGCTATTTATTATAAAATTAAATATAATTTTTAATTATTAGAAATGAAGAAATCATACTTTAATAATAATATTAATGATGCTGATAATTATTATTATTAAGTAAATAAAAATAAAAATAAAAATTGTTTATTTAATTTTTATTTTTTTGAAAAGTCTACTTTTACAATTTGACATATTTAAACTACGGCAGAAAGTCATAAATAACCTACTATAAATTAAAAGACTTATCGTATCGTTGTTTTCAAAAGCTTTAGAGACGTAACATAAATTCCGCTTTTAATAGGTCACCTACAGCTTTCGCCATGAGGCTGTGTTTAAAATGAGATAAATGTTTTCAAAGTGCACTGCGAAGAGAGCACAATTGTAAACATAAAGATCGCTGAAACTAAACTGTAAAAATAGTTTGAAAGCAAATTACACCTAAAAGAGATGACCTTAATGCTTTAATTGTTAAAATGTTTTAAATGAAAGGTCATAGAGGGGATAAGTGGGAATAGAACACAGCCAGGAACTATGTTTCTAACAACAGCTCCAGAGCAGTAGTTGCGAGTGCTCAAGTTTGCGACACAGTTTGCAAATGTTTGTTGGAGCGACAGATTTGGGAAACGGCAAATCAACAAACTATGTTTGTAACGACGGAACTTGTGACCTTAGTTGGTTAACGATGGTTTTGGGAAACGCACCCCAGGTTAAGGTAATTAGGCAAGTTATTGTATAATGATGTTTTGTTCTGTAGACTATTCAAAATATATCTAGCATAAAGGGGCTAATAATTTTTACCTTAAAATTACTTAAAAAATTTAAACTGCTTTTATTCTAGCCAAAATAAAACAAATAAGACTTTCTCCAGAAGAAAAAATATTATCAGACATACAGAAAACATTTCCTTGCTCTGCTAAACATCATTTGGGAAATATTTCAAAAATCAAAAAAATCAAAGAGGGGCTAATCATTCTGACTTTAACTGTACATGCCCTGTCAATCATCTTGCCATCCATATTTTATCCATATTCTCTTCATATATAATTTCCAACCATATTGGAGATGCATCAGCAGGCTAATCGGCAGAAAAATCTCCCAGGTGTTTGCATAATTATGCATTTAGAAGCCAATGACCAAACTCGTCTTTATAAGTGTTTACATTGTTGTTGCAGATGAAACATAATGCGGAAAACGTGAAATAAATATATTCTAGACGAGGTTACATACTAATAAACAGTCATTCCAACATATTTATTAAAGCCTCTCCGCTAAACTGCAGGTCTTTTGGCCATCCACCATGTTTGTATTGTAGTTTGTTAACACTTTTTACCCACGGTTGTAATTTTAACCGAATTACATCTACTGCTTAATGTATTCTTGGTAATATTAGCGATTAGAGCAAAGCCAATGGAAGGCAAGCCTGAAATGATTAGCCTAAAATGCATAATGGCTAATGCTAATGTGGCATTTTTTGCATTGACAGGCGCCTTTTTTGAATGATTTACCAACGGCCGTGAACGTTTTGCGCGCTGCTTATCCGCAATTGAGCGCTTCGAGTTTTAACTGCCTGCTGCGCCTCTCGTTTTTGTAGTTGTTTGGAAAAGGCATGTTCCGTCTGTCGCGTCTGTTTCATTCTCAGATTAAATGAAAGCAGAGGCAGGGTTTCCGTTGAGGCGACAGCAGTGTTTGTGTTGTCAAGATGACTACTGAGACTTCTAAAAAGGGAGGAGAGGCTAGCGGTCGCTGTTTTGAGTTATCCAGAGCTGTACGACTCACAAATCTTGAATTTCACAATACTATTTAATATTAAATTATCCCAATATCAAAAGTAATACTCTCGCACAGTACCCAGCTGATTCATTCGTTGCCTCGCATACCACACTTTCTTTTTTTTTTGTCAACAAAAAAGGCGGTGTGGTGTGCCTCGTGTTTTTGAAATGTAAAAGCACATTCAGTGTGATCGACCCCTAAAAGCCAGAATTTGATTGGCTAAGATTTGATTTAGATGACGAAGTTAGCAATACACGTTTTCCAATGGTGTGTACTACCAATGCTGTCTCACTGCAATTCGTAACTTTTTTATTTAGTGGCTATTTCGCATTAATTCATACAGTCTCATTCGTACAATTTAGTACAATTGCTTATCCCCCAATGATGATTGGGTTTAGGGGTGGGGTATGGTGCCTCGCCTCCTTTTTACAAGTCGTACATTTCGAATTTTTAAAAATCAAATTTGTACGAATTAGCCATTTAACTGACAAAACGTATAATACTTACGTCTCCTTGTAAGATCAGGCTGGTAATACAGAAGTTTTTTTTTTTTTTTTTTCATGTCTCCTATTGTAAGAAAGTCTCTGATCTCCACCTAAAATTTATACCAGAAATAGAACAACATTGGGATACTCATTTCAACATTTTTGAATACTATTTAGAAAGAATATATGCAAATTGGGATGCAGCACATCTTTGGACATATATGGTCACAACCAAATGTTTGTTACAATTTCAGCTCAATAATTGGGTTTGTCTATATGTGTCTAAAACAACTCACCATTTATTAGATTGCTCAATGCAATTTAAGTAACTTCTGAGAAAAACCACCAGCCAAATACATAAAAGCCATGTACTACAAGTTACAAAAAAGCAACTCCAGCTTGTTGGTTGAGGTTGTTTAGACATTTTGAGAAAGGAAGTTGGCATATCCTATTTCGAAACTTATTGCCACACAGATATATAAAGAAAGTGTGACGTAACGACCTGCTAGAAGGTCAAGTTGAAGAGAAAAAAAGAAGTACACTGTAAATCATGCTGGCTACTAAATTTGGGAAAATATAACAAAGGAAAGCGTTGTGGTAAAAAAAATAAATCTAATGGTTAAATTTGTCCATATCTTACTCAAATTTGCGGCAAGCATTTGTTTTGGGGTGTACAGTTGTAGCATGTGTGCCACACACAAAAAACTGTAGGCATTACTTTTAATGTTATTACATTTAATTTAAATTTATACTATTTATTAGCCACAGCCACTGGTTGGATGTTGACTTTTTGCTGTCCACTGTCAGTTTTTGAGGACAAAACAATAAAAATTAGGCACTTTTGACTCATTTTTGTTGTGTTTGGTTTGCTTCATGTCTTTAAAAATTACAGACCAAAGTTAATGTTTTAATACTTAGATATGTGTAATTTCTATATGTAATGTCTATACCTCAGAGTAACTGTATGTAAATGTTTTCAAAAAATATCTATATGCAGCATAATTTAAGTTAATAATGTATTTACAGTCAATAAACAAACATTACTATAATATATGTGAAACATTAAAACACTTGCCATGAACTTCTACTGTCTCTTAAGTTATGGTTATCTACATCTTGAACTAAACATAAAAATAGTTCTATATCCAATGATGTCTGATAGTGATGATGACACAATAACCAATAAGGATGTCCAAATATGGTCACACTTATTTTAAGTCCGTTTGTTGAATTTAAGTCTACATAAGTCTAATTTTATCTACATGCCAACTAATTCTCATTAGATTTTAAGCAGACTGTTAGGTTAATGTTAGTGTAAGTTGACATGTACAGTACTTGTAAAGTTTCTTATAGTCTTAGTTATAGTTAAATGCTGGTTGAAGGAGCAGTATCAAAAGATATTAAGCAGACAGTCTACTAATGCTCAAATGGACCATCAAAATAAAGTGTTACCCAAAATATTACTGAATCTTTACTTATTTAATGCAATTTTACTTGTCGGATGTATTTAGGCGGACAAATGGTTGATATTAATTATTATTTTCCTCAAAAGAAATTTACAGCACACTAAAGGGCTTAATAATTGCAATTAACTTCGACTATCCATTTATTTATTGTTATTTGAATCAAAATATTAGCAAAAATACATATATTACTGTAAATAATGTAAAATACAACATTTTAATGTAAATAATCGATTTTTTTGTCAAAGAAAATTACACTATTAAGTTGTTCAATATTAACTGCTAATAAATACTAGTCAAATAGTCAAGAACTATTAAAGTCACAGTCACACTAGAATTTGTGCTTGCAAAATTCTGTCGTACGGCACTGCGAAAAGGGGTGGAATAAAACAATACGATAAGATGCTGATAAACTTGATTGCTCCATAATTAAAATGTTTGCCCAGAGAGGTCAAGTTTTGAACTTTGATTGGTCTCACGTAATCACGTGATGCAATTTCGCAGGTCAGAGTTCATCAAGCTAGAACTCTCGATTGCAGTGAAATGCGAAACTCGTGACACAAGCTTGCGTTTCCAGTCTGCTGCAGTCACATGCATATAAATGGAAGTCTATGGAGCAAAAAGTGCAGTGTGACATCACTTAACTCTTCAAATATTATTGTCAAAATCCTAAAGCATACACAAAAAAGGTTATATCCAATATTGTCCAATTGCAATAACTACAAAATATTGTGTATCCATACTAAAATGTCTGTTATTACAAAGTTTTGGCATTCTAAAAAAACTTTAGGCTTACACAATAGTCTAGAAACTGCTTAAATGTTAATTAACCAACAAATCACTCATGTTTTAAATTAACGACAATAATTGGTTAAAAAAAAATTACCACAAACTAAGTAAGTACTTTTGCCTCTCTTTAGTATTAATTAATATCAATAGTATTCTATATATCCTAAATTAATGTTATTTAAATCTTAAACTGTTTGCAAACTGACTATGACAC